CTCATTATTCTTCCTGTTTCTAAGCTGGTCTGAGATACATCCAGTCCCTGGGATCAGTTCTTACCCAAACAGAGGACAACAGCCCTCAAGGTGAGGAGCAAGACACTGTACGAAGACCTTGAAAACAAAGTTGCCTGTCAGGAGCGTCTGTCTTGCAGAACATATTTTCCAGCTCTGAGGGTGGCCTGTTTAGCCAAGCCTGACTATTTCACCATGCTACAGAGGCTGCCCTGGTATTAATTCACCTCAAAGAGCAGGTTGAAATCATTAAAATATTTTGCAGGTGGTTCCTTGAATTCATGGTGCAGCTGGATCCAGCCTAAAGGAGAAAAAAAAAAAGGAGGAGAAGAGGCAAGTTCTGATGAAACACAAATTAACATAACTCATAGAAGGGAAAGAAAATCTGGTTTCAATCTCTACAACAAAGCCAAGCAACACATCAAGCTAGAAAGGAGAAATGTCAGCCAGGCAGTGCTGGGGATTTTATTACTTTAGCACAAGTGCTTCTCCACAGTCCCAGGAGTACCCAGGTGCTACTGCAGCAGGCAGAGCCCCTGAGAACAGCTCCAGGCACACAGGGACGTGGGGGGCTTCACAACAAGGCCTCTGCTGCAATATGGGTCCAGGCTCAAGGCTTGTTTTAATGCCCTGGCATTAGAATTTTTGTGTTGGCCTCAGTCTCTCTTCTGCATGGAAATTCTCTGTGTAATGCACCATTTCTTGCCCTCAGGGCTGGATACACTTGTTTTCAGGGGATGCTGACCAGGGCTGAGCCAGGCAGTTAGTGGGACACTCCCAAGGCTGACCCCAGATGTGGTGCATCCATGAGCTGCTGGGGAGCAGATCACACACAACCTGCTTTGGCATCCCCTGAATTCAGCAATGCTTCCCAATGTCCATGAGCATCAAAGTCCATGGTCCCTCCTCAGGGAGAACAAAGCATTCTAACATAAACACCATCATACTGGAGAGCTGTACTGGATGTGACTGAGATGGAGGTAACAACACAACAGCCCAACACAGTATGCTGTTGTGCTTTGGATTTGAAGCTAAATCAGCATTGATACACACCAATATTGGTGTGTATTTGGGTATGGGTGAGCAGAGTTTGCACAGCATCAAGGCTGGGAGCAGGCTGGGGTTGGGCAAGAGTCTGGGTGGGGACACAGCTGGGGCAACTGACCCAAACAAACCCCAGGATATTCCACACCATATGACATCAAGCTCAGTGACAGAAGTTCAGGGAAAGCGGAAAGAAGGAGGAACATGTTTGTGGTTTATCATTTATCAGCTCAAGCAGCCATCATGTTTGCTGACACCCTGACTCCTAGGAAGCAGTTGTGTATCTGTCTGCCTGTTGATGGGGAGGAGAGAATGAATTCCTCTTTCTGCTTTGCTTGCAACTGCAGTTTTGCTTTCTCTGTTAGAATCTTCCCACTTTCCTTCTATTTTGTACCCGCCTTTTGGGAAGGGAACTGAGAGAACAGTTGGGTGGGTGTTTGGCTGGTGGCCAGGGTCAATCCATCACAAGAGCTGGCATGTCAAAATTCACCCACGTTGTTCATTCGAAAAAGAAAACAGACTTAAAAATCAGGTAAACTAGGGGGGAAAAAAAAGACCAAGCTAGTTTACTAACAAGCCTATGACTGATAAGGCAACTGTACAGCTCTGGTCACTGCTGGCTTTCAGTGGGCATGTGTGTGCTGTGTCACAGGTCAAACCACAGCTACTTGTTTTTTGATGTGGGTGTGGTCTGTGGGCAGGATTAGTTTTTAGTGTTTTGAAACCCACCTGCAGAAACATGAGTGCAGGTGTTGGGATAAAGTGTAGACTGTCATCTTTTCTGGCTGCCACTCTCTCTTCATCTAGAGGTGACAGAAGAAATGGTGGAGGCTCCTGGCCCAGCTTGCCTGATATAGGACCTGTTTGTGTCATCATCTCTTCTTTTCCTTGTCCTTGCAGGAGCATGAAAGCCACCTGAATTCTGCACATTTATGCCTAAGATAGTCTGCAATCAAATAGAAGAGTCTGGAAAAATTACCAACTTGTGGATAAATGGTGAAACACCTATGAGCTAGGGCATCTTCTCATTTGGAGAAAAAAAACCTTATAAAATTACATCTTCAATTCTGTCAGGATAAATGGTTATCCTGTGGAGGCTGCCGTCTCTTCAAGCTCCCTGGCAGTATCACTGCTGGGAACCACCGTGTTTAGCTCTTGCCAGGTTGGTGTTTGGTGTTACATCAGTTTGCTGTACCATGAGCTCTCAGTGGTGGCAAATGCCTGCAGCTGACAACAGTGGAGGAAGGAGATGAGAAAGGCAGCCAGTATGGCCAGGGACTTTCCCCTCCACCAGCCACTTCCAGGCCACTTCCTTTTGCATCCACCAGCAGCCACCTCGAGGTCCATGACTTCGAGGCAGCTGTGGTCTGTTCATAAAACTTGGTTCAGTTGTGGTGCACATTTATGGTGAGAGCATGAGGAGCACCTTCTGCCCAGCACAAGACACCAATGTCAGAGTGGAGGAAGGGAAGGGATAAGCCAGAGGACTTCAAGACTTACCCTGAATGTCAGCAGAACATGTCAGGGGAGGCAGGATGAGTAGCAGGAGGAGAGGGACCAGGGCTTCCTCACAGAGAGCCCAAAGGGTTAGGCTGATGGCCCAGCAGACATGCCCCGTAGTGTGCTGGAAAGTATTATTCTATTAATAATCTCATTGTTTCAGCAAAACATCAACCTAGGGAGACTGCACTGAATCAGCAGTTTCTTTTCTATTTTTCTTTCATGATTTAGTAATCCCAATTGCACAATCGGAGCCAACCTATTGCTGCAGTCGGTGATGGTGCAGTGAGAAATGAAAGGCAGCAGAAAGCAGGGTGGGAGCAGCAGCAGTGAGCACACTCAAAGGCTGAGCCAGAGTGCTGGTACATGACCTCTGGCAACCATGGCATGGCTGAGACCCCTAGCATCATGTGCACTGGGAATCTGCTGCCTGTTTGCAGAGGCTGACATCCAGATAGAAATACACCTTAACACTGACAGGCAGCTCACCTGAGTGATGGAAATGTAGCAGCTCACAGAGTGGCATGGGGTCACAGCAGATAAAAATAAAGTTTTGTCCAACTGGATAGGCAACCTCAGCTGGTGGCAAAGTCAGAGGGATCATGACTTTATTCCCAAAAGTGAAGAACTGGACTTCAAACCCTGAAGCAGTGCAGATCAGGACTGTCAAAATCAAACTTGTGGTTTTGCACCCATGCCATCTGGGCCTCTGAGAGTGCCATGGTCACAGCATGGCTATGAGTGGTGTGAAAACTGTCTGAACTTCTCAGGGAAGGAGGGCACAAAGGTCTCATTGTGCCTTTTGTCTTTAGAAGGGCTTTTGAGAACTACAGCTGCCAGCATATTTTTAATACTTTGAAGTCAAATGAATTTGACTAGAAGTATTATTAAAAGCCCCTCTGCTGTAGGTCAGCTCTCTGCTTGCACCTGAATCACATCCATCCCTATAAACATCCACTTGGGAGCACAAGTGTAGCCATTCACAGCTCATCACCCAGCCCAGCAAAAATTGATGGCTTTGGGCTTGTGTGGAGTGGTCAGCTGAACCACCCAAACCATCAGAAATAGGCTAGATAAGAGCCCTTACCTGAGAGAGGAGGTGATGCCACTAAGGAAGAGGATACACAAGCAGTTACAATGGCTTAGCTGATTGGTGGTAACCACTCAAACCACCCTAATTCAAAGGGGGTATTTGAGCCCTTTGCAACAACACAAATTATCCCAATTCCTACACAGTATAGCAGTATGTATGACAATAGAGGATTTCTCTTTCTCTCTGCTGGTGACAAACCAGGTCATAGCTGCACAAGCACATTTGAAAGGAGAACACAGAAGTGGATTTAAAAATCCCCACATATTTTTGGTTTAAGTCTTTCAGAGATCCATATGTCAGGTGTAGAACAGAGGGCTTCACTCCGCACTGGGGAGTCACGGTGTGGATTTCCAGCTCACCTCCCCCTGAAGCTTATGCCACGCTTTATTCCATGGACAAGCAAAGTGGTGATGACACAGCAGCCCCAGGGATGAACATGGACCTGCAGCCTGGGATACAACCCTGTGACAAGGACTGCCCTGCACCTTGGAGAGGGCAGCACGTGTCAGCAGCAGTGTGGGTACGGAGGACTCTGCCCAGCACCTACCAACGGCTCCTGCCTATGGGCTTGGGTGAGTCACTTTGCTTTGCAAAATCAAAATCATACATGACACAAATGAAGATGCCAAAAGCCATGGTGAGGTCTGCAGGGGTGAGTTTTATAGGACATGAACAAAGAAATAGTGAGGAGATTTGTGTCCATGGGTATAGAAAACAGGTCAGGGAGGAAGCAGGGGCTGGAGAGACCTCGGCAAGGAGGCTGCATGTGTCTCTTCTCCATATCATCCCAAACCCATTTGGGCTTCAGCATCCCCCATCTCACCGTCATTTGCTTGTCTTTACAACTCCTGATTCTTTCCCTCCTTGCACTTCAGCCATGCACCACCACTAAGGTGTCATCTTGGTGCAAGTTACTGTGTTTCACTATGATAAAGTGCTTAACCTCCTCTCCCAGGGGATGGATCTCCAAGGTAACATTGAACATGGGATCTCCTTGGCTACATGAGGAGGTTTACTTGTGCTAGGAACAAAATGTACACCTCATGCCTAACCACTCCATAGTGCAGGATGTTGGATAACTCTGGGTTGAACCTCTTTCAGGATCCTGCCCAAGGCTCCATGGACTCCAAGTGAGTACACGAGAGCAGCTGAACATCTTAGCTGTGGGATTTTTTGAGGAACTGTTCAAATTACCACATCAGACTTCTCAGTACTCTATAAAAACTGAGCAGATAGGAAATGCATATCAGAAAGCTTATCAAACCAGGAGGCAGAGAAGAAGTCCCTTCAGTTCTTTATTGTCCATAATCTGACAAGGCTTTAGGTTAGCCACAAGAAATTTGTCATGAAAATTAAAGACACATATGGGGAAGATGGAAATGCGAGCGATATGAACACTTTCAGTATTTCAGACAAGCTTGGGTTTGCCTCTGCTGCTACCACAACCTTTCAGATAAGTGGTAAGGTTTCTTTTTATTAAATGGATTTAAATGGATTTTATCTGGTCTAAAACAACACATAAAAATGAAATATGGCATATTAAATGCTTTTAACAGTGATTTTGCTAGTAAATTCATTGCCATTTAAAAACAGAAGTATGTGAAAATGTCCTTTCTAGCCAAAAGGTGATGCTGAGCATCAGAAAAAAGATTATTTTCCTGGTTTAGAAAATGTCTAATTTTCTTAAGTAAAACTTTCATCTCTTAATTATTAAGATGCTAAAATCACCAGACCCAATAAAAAAAATGTAAGTTTATGAATTTTTAGCTGAATATAAATACTTCATTGCTGACTAAACCATTCTATTGTAAAACTAATTAAAACATTGTACTTTTTAAAAACCAAGTCTTTAAACTCCTGATTTCATTACTTTGGAAAAACCCCACTCAATTAAGAGCAACTTACTGAGTGTCTGAAGTAGCTATTAATGCTTCTGAAATACTTCTTTCTCCCTGAAGCTCAGAATTCAACAAAGCAGTTTATTTCTTTAACACTCACCGGCAATGAATTATTTTAAATATTATGCCTTGTTTCCATTTGTTCTGCAGTTCAGTTCACTACTGATTTTTCATTTGTTTTGATGCATACATGCATTGCTGTTGGAATCACATGTATGTGGTGCTCTGGACGGAGAGGGCATTGCTTTGAGCCACCTCCTGAATGGCAGCCTGAGACAACTAAAAGCAATGGGAACAGGGAGTTTGATGCAGAAAGGGGAGAACCACTGCATTCATGTTGTTATAGGCTGCATTAAGTCTTGATGCAGTGCAGAGCCTGGAGGAGAAGAAGGCAGCCTGCCTCTCACAGAGGGACCTTGCTGCTCCCTATCACTGGAAAGCACTGCCAGTTTTTTTGTGGTCAAGCCTGAAATGGTTGGAAGCGAACAGAGATTGTAGGGGAAAGATGTGAGAAGATGCCTACTGTACTTCTGTTCATTTTTAGAGCCTCAAAGCCAAAGAAAGCCATCCACATGCTGTGCTCGGACAGCCCTTGGCATCTACCTGCTGCTGCTGACGGCTGGCCAGGGGCTGCTGGTGTACAAAGGTAATGCTACAACCTCACTGTGGGTTTGACATCAAAAAAGAGCTTTTCTGGGTGCTCTTGGGGGCAAAAACCAAATGGAAATGAGCACACAGATCGGAAACCTCTGAGGGAGCACAGAGCTCCTCTGCACACCACAAGGCAAAGCAGACGCTGCAGGAAACCATTTCCCCACCCCATATATGTGCTTTGCATTTGCAAAAGCACTCCCAGCTGCACTCCTGGCTGCAGCAAGGACTGGCACATGAAAACCACCTCCCCAAGTCAAACAGGGGTGGTCTTTATCCTAGAGTGTCCTCCACAGGTGCCGAGGAACTGCCCTGCCAAAGAACCAGACCAGGCAGGGAATATTCACTGCACGGGGTTTTTGTTTCCTCAGTGTTTATGATGCAGACAGAAATAATGAAACTTCAAGAACAAAATGCCACCTATACAGAAGAGATTCTGGAAAGCTATGCCAACAAAATGATTTTGGGGAAAAGCTCTTCTGAGATACACATGGAACATGAAGAAAACTGGAGGAGAAGCTTAGAAGAGGAAATCACCATAATTAAAAGCAGCAACACAAACCTGATGATGATGATGAACAACATCACCCTGGTTGCAGGTATGGTTCCATTCCTCCGTGCTGGCTACACAGTGGGGAGAGCTGGCTCCTCTACACCTTTGGCAAAGCTGGGCTAAAAACCTAGTTTAGATCAACCAGTAACTAGGGCAAGATTTGATCTTCCTGTTAGTTAGTGATGCCCCAGTGCCCAGGGTTGGACTCAGCTGCAGACACTGTGGTTGGTGAGATGGACATACCTGCAGGACCTGGAGCCCTTCCCTGTGCAGACCCCTGGATCCCACTGCAGCTGCACATGTGGCTCTGTGCTCCTCTTCCCTCCCACAGCTTGCAGACTTGGACTCTGGTTGCCCTCTAAAAGGCATCTTTAGCCTAAACCTCAAGCCTGTCAATACCATACTGTTATGTTCCTCACTGAGTGCTGACTACTGAAAAATATCCATTAAATATTTATTTCAGGGCCTCCTGGAAGCAAAGGAGATCCTGGTCCACCAGGTATGTTGGTAAATGAGCCACAACTTTTCCTCTTTTTCTCTTTCTTGTTTTTTTCATCTAAGAGACCTTAAGTGAGGATTTGGGATTTTAGTTTCTAGACCCAGACCCTACCCAATGTGCAAACACCCAAAGCCCTTGCCAGAAGGAGACCTGCTGTACCTTTTGACCCATCCTCTGGAAGCCTTGACCAGCCTGAGTGCTCCCACAGAGCTGGATGACCATTATGGAGGAGTATTTTTGCTCTGCCTCCTCACTGATACCTGACCAGAAAAGCTCAGATGTGATGGAGGAACTGTACCTGGTTATTATCTGCACTAACCATCCCAAATCTCCATGTGAGACAAGAGAGGACCAGTGAGGGGATTTATCTGCATCCCACAACGAGCAAATAGCTAGGTTTTCTGCTCCAGACATAACAAGTCCTGCTGTCTAGGGCAGCTCAAGGAGACCACCACAGTCCCTGCTCTACAGGGCCACAGATGAACAGTGCATGTAACTGACAGTGACAGATTTTGGAACTTGCTCACCCTGCCCCTAGGAAAACAATGGCACATACCCAGGAATGAGCTAGGAGTGCAAGGGCTCCTCTCCACAGTCACAGACAAGCTGCTGCCCTGGGTACCTGAGAGTTTGGGTAAAACTACACCTGCTGCAGGAGATAAATGTCTCTAGACTGTGAGGATGCAGCAAGTCCTGACCTAATGCTGGCTCCACTTGGAGCAGAAATCGGGCTAGGCAAATTTCTATGATCCAATGATGATGACCTAAGATATAACCCTTGTTAGGTCAGGTCTGTATCTCATCCTTCTCTACTTCTTGGCTACAGTGATGAGCTTTACTGAAGAAAAAAAAAGTTTTAAATCATGTTTTCATATCTTCCTGGCTGCACTTAGAACATTGAAAGAGCACCTCCAGCCAAGCAGTGTTATCACACATCAGAGCCCAATAGTTCAGTGCATTTTCTTGAAAGATCTCCCTAATGGTCCCCATGAGCTGGGCTTGGCTGGAAGACAGCTGGCCCCTGCCCAGCCATGCACTCAGCTGCGCTCCAAGGACTTTACTCAAGTGGTTGTGCTGGTCCCTGCCAGCTGAAGATTGGTCTCACTGGTGACCAAAACCACGTGCACAAAGGATGATTAAAAAATTTATCTCTTCTTCTTAGCCATTACTGTGAATAGATGATGTGTGTCAGCTGATATATGTATTTTACATTTCAGGGCTACGGGGACCACCAGGGACAAAGGGAGACCAAGGAATCCAAGGTAAGGCTTTTCTGACACCTGAATTACTTCTGTGAATGAACATAAAGTCCCTTTATGGATGATTTTATGAGCAATCTTGACCTCAGTCAAGGTGTAAGTCAGTAAGAATGTCATTGGAGTTGAAGGAAATAAGCCTATATAAAGCTAATGTGAGCAAAAGCAAAACTTAGATGGAAAAGATCTTATTTTAAAAGTCAATGTGCAATAGCCACAGTGGGCCAGTTTCCCACTGCCATCAGCACCACTCAAGTGCATGAAGAGCAGAGTTTGGCTCGTGTCTTCTGCTGAGCTGTGTGCCCTGATGCTGCATTCACAAGACACAGCATCCAGTGAAGCATCAGAAAAGTGATATTGTCCTCGTAGGCTTACATGGACCACAGGGTGCAAAGGGGAGCAAAGGAGATCCTGGTCCTGCTGGAGCAAGTGGTGTACCAGGAGTGAGAGGAGAAAAGGGAGACAAGGGACTTTCAGGTAAGACTTCTTTATTATCTCAACATTTTAAAGATTCTCCCATGTATTTCTATTTAAACTCATTCTACATAAAACACCAGAAGAAATATTCATAGGTTAGTATTTCATAAAAATCCAGGCAGCCCTGAGCATGGTTTGCCAGTCAATGAGGGAGCTGGATGAACAGGACACTCGACCTGTTCTGAAGGGGTTTCTTTCATGTCATGCTCCAGCAAAGCTCCCAAAGGAGGGCTAAGGGAAGGGGCCATGCAAAATGTTGACTCTGCACCATGGGATTCTCTTTATAGAGTGACCTTTGTCTAATGAAAGCCACAGAAATTCAATTATCAGCCTATCCTAGATTAAAGCAGCAATGTTTGCAGTAGGATTTTCATGGTATAAAATAATACAATATAATTTATATGCACAAGCATGTGGATGCTAGTCCTCATTTTAGTGAAACCTCTTTCTGAGAGTTTTATCTTACATAAGCCTGACATTATACATTAAGCAGAAGAGTTATGCACTGTGTTTCTCCCATGTAACAAGCAATAGAGGACATCTCCTGGATAGCTGTTACTCAGTGGTCTCACATGGGCTGAAAGCAGGATAGAAAAAGAAAGCAGGTAATGTGTGCCATACAGAGCAGGGAGGGCAGCTGGACAGTTGATAAGAGCTTCATCAGATCTTCTGTCAGATCCCACATGCTCCAGTGCACTCATTAGCACAAGTTTCTCCAGAAGAAAAAAGTGAATGTAGGAGGAATACCAAAAGGCAAGTATTTTGGAATAATTCTGGAGCAGAAAGATGCAGGAGATCTAAGTCTTTAAATGAGGCACTTTCAAGTAATTTAGCTTTTTAAGAGCATGCTGGTCACCTGCTCAGAGGTGAAAACGCCAAGAGAAGATGAGGTAACTAAGAACAGAGCTGTCCTGTATCTCCACTGTGGCTAGGAGAAGTGAAGCCTGCAGACTGCAACAGGGGATATTTAACTAGAGGAAAAAACATTCTAGTGGTAGGGATAGTTTTGAGAATAGACTGGAGAGGTATCATGGCACCACTGCAAGTCTTTGACAGCAGGTCAGACAAACATCTGGCTAGACAGAGCCAGAGATGGATCAGACAGACCAGCTCTGTTCTTACACAGTTTTACAGGAACGCTACTGGATGCTAAATGCAGGTGTGAGGCCAGACTTTGCTACTGGTGTGGCTAGACAGAGATGCTCCACAAGCTTCAATGACAATGAAACTGGATTTTTTTTTAATTTATACGTGTGCTGTGCTGTTTGATAGGTCTTCAAGGACCAAAAGGTGACACAGGAGAGAAGGGAGACCCTGGGCCCCGTGGAGCCATGGGTCCTCAGGGACATCAAGGAGTTCCAGGACTACCAGGTTTCAATGGTAAGTGCAGAGGACACAATGTGACCCACCATCAGTACCCACGTGCTGTGGTGCAGCACTGCCCTAGCTGAAGCATTGGGCTAAACTTCATTATCACTGATGCTAGAATGTTGTTACAGGTAGCACGGGGATGCCTGGACCTCCAGGGCAGAAGGGAGAGGCAGGTAAGCAGTACAGAAGGTGCAGTTTGTTCTAGAGATGTAAGACTACATCTCTTTTAGATGGTACTCCATGACAAGGAAAACTGCAGCCAGTCTAGATCCCAGCATGGGTAAGAGAAGATGATGATGAGACGAAGAAACGATGCCAATGTTCTGACATGGTGCAAACTCACCCTGCAGCCTTGGCTGTTTCATCTGAGCCTCACTCACTCACTGTGCAGGAGACTGAGAGGGAAAGAAGTGTCCTGTACTGTGGAGGGCCATGTCTTCTTTCCTGACGTGTGCATACACAAGGGAAGAAATTGGCTGCTCTTTTTTTGGAAAGCACTTGTGCATTTCAAGGCTGTGAGGACCTGGGTCCATACAGCTTCTCAATCCAGATCATCACTCACTGCAGATTAGCACTACCAAGGGGAAGATTATGATTCAGAGACCCAGCATTTGTTTTGCCTTCATAGGGTCGATTCAGTCTGCACAACACAGGGACTGGTGATTGACCTACCATTTTTTTTGCCTCCTTCATGTGTTGTGTTACATTTCATATGTGCTGCTTTCCCTCAATCTCAAGGTGTACCTGGACAGCGTGGACCTGTGGGAAGTCCTGGACTTGAAGGGAGACCTGGTCAGAAAGGGGAGAAGGGGAACCAGGGGCCCATAGGTAGCCCAGGTACAACACTACTCAAACCTACAATTCACTGACCTCCTACTCTGGCCTCATTTTGTGTGATGGCTTCACCCTTACTGATTTGGTTTTAATTTTAGGAGTACCTGGCATTGCTGGACCCAGAGGTGAAAAGGGAGATCAAGGAACATCAGGTAAAGGAGAATAAAGGGGTTGGGGTCAACAACATGCATCATGCAGGCACTGGAAAGTGAACTACAACAGCCAGGATGAGATTTGTTGAGTCCTGTTCTTGGAGTCCCAACCAATGCATCCCAGGATGTCATGGCAGTCCTGGACCTCTGCCATGCTGCTGGGGGGTGGCTACTCACTGGGAGGTTTTCTCTACCATCTGTAATAAGCATAAGAAAGTGATGTTGCCTGGATTTTTGTTTAAACAGAAAACACACAAACAAAGCAGCAGTTTAAGATGAATCAAACAATAAGCCCCCTTACCCTGGAGCTAAAGACAAATGTTTCTGTCTGTAAATCTGATGGGGAAGGATATTCACCAGTAAGTATCTGTCCTGGGCTCCTCTGTAGCATTGAAGGATGAAGTATCTTCAGAGGCCAACTTAGGGCACATAACCAAGGCCTTTTCTTTGACATTCCACATGAAGAAAGCCACCTCTCTGTCCCAGGCATAGGGTGACATTCTGCAGTACAAATCTTTTCTGGTGAACTTCTCTTGATTCAGCCTTTTTAATCCTGAATTTATAGAGTACACACAACCTCTCATGTCCATCAGGAGGTGACCAAAGTCCAAGTGCTGCACCTTTCTGCCTTCATTGACACCTGGATTGTAGGGATAGGAGTTACCTGGCCCAGTGTTATGTGCTTGCATATGTCTGATCTAAATTTACATGTCTAGGCTCTCTATATGGTTAGTGAAGATCCACCCGGTGGGAGGGTCTCTATCCCATCAGTTCAGTTTATGATATGAAATAAATGTCCAGGAGTTGATCTCCTTCAGGAGAAGATGTTTCTCCACTGTCTATGTCTTCTTCTTTGACATGGTCTGCACTGAATATGATGTGAAATCAGATACCCAAATCAGAAATAGATGCCTGTAGTGTAGACACCTAAATTATATGAGTTAAAATCCATCATTAATACTGGTTTGCATAAGCTTTCATAAATGTATAAATATCAGTCTTATAAATGTGTGTATTTGTTTGTTTGTTTGTATGATCACAGGTGTTCCAGGGCTAAAGGGAGCAAAGGGAGATCAAGGCCTGCCAGGTAAACCTGTGTTTTACTGCATTCCACTTTTCGTGTCAATGTGAAATGCTTGTCCTGTTCTTTTCTTGGGAAGGATCAAAGGCAATAACTTTCTTGCTTTCCACCCAGGAGCCCCAGGCCCAAGTGGTCAAAAAGGAAGCAAGGGTGATAATGGCACTCAGGGTCCAAAAGGAGAACCTGGACTAAAAGGAGCCAAGGGAGACAGAGGACTTCCTGGTAAGGCTGTTGCCACAGAGTCTGTGGAGCTAATGGTGCATTTGGGTTCAGGACTATAGACCACAGATGGGCACAAGCTGTTCTGGGGCACATCTACAAACCTCATTTGGAGGAACTCAACAGACAGATCAGCCTTCCCAGAAGAGGAATACGCAGAGTGTCACGTACACCCCGGGAGGTGTGCTAAAATGTGCCAGTAAACAGATGCATTAGATTTTTCTGAAATCCCTGATCTCACAGAAAACTGGAACAATCCACGTTCCTCTTTCCATGTTCCTTTTTGCTTTGTACAGAGACATCTTGCAGCATACCATATCACCAGGATAAATCCCACATAAATGTGGCACTCAGGAACAGAGCATTGAGAACATCTAATAGTGAGGCTATTTAACTATGCCTTGCTAATTGTAGGACACACAAGTTGCTCAAAAGGGCTGATGCTAAGCTGCTCTCCATTCTTACCTCCCCGCTCCTTCCAATCAGAGAATATTTCCAAAACTCCTAAGACCTGTAGTAAAAAAACCCCAAACAGTAGTTATAACAGGCCATGGGAAGCAAACAGTGCTCCAGATGCTTTTTATTTCAATTTTTCACATAGAATGCTATAGGAATCCTCAGAAATGAAATAAACTAGGTCCTATGTGGGGCTTCTCTGTGCACTCCTCCTCTGGAGCTTTGCCTCTGGAAGAGGGGAAAAGTGTAACTGGGCTGGCTCCAGGCAAAGGACTGTCCTCTGGTTGGGTCATCTCCTGGTCCCCAGAAGGAGATGGCACACGGTGCTTTCTGTTTCTGGAGGTAGATTTTGTGGGAAGAGCTCGTTGGGTTTTTTTCAAACACTCCTGCTCTCCAGACCAGGATGCTGCACAGAAATGTGGAGGACTGTTGGGAGTAGCATTCTGCTGTCCCACGGGAATACCTGGAGAGCAAACCCCATGATATGGATCTTCCTGCAAGTACTTTGGAAGATCACAGAATCACAGAATATTCAGAGTTGGATGGGACTCATGAGGATCATCAAATCCAACTCTCAGCCCTGCACAGGATATCCCTGCCCTGAGAATCATGTGCCTAAGAGCATAGTCCAAATGCTTCCTGACTCTGTCAGGCTTGGTGCTGTGACCACTTCCCTGCAGAGTTTGTTCCAGTGCTCAAACACCCTCTAGGTGAAAAAGCTTCTTCTAATGTCTAACCTAAACCTACCCTTTACTATGACCACTTTTGGAAAGCACAAAGGCTATCAGAGACGTCATCTTGAAAGTAGCAGTGGGAATGAGATACATTTCCCACAAGTCCTGACTCTGTCAGGCTTGGTGCTGTGACCACTTCCCTGCAGAGTTTGTTCCAGTGCTCAAACACCCTCTAGGTGAAAAAGCTTCTTCTAATGTCTAACCTAAACCTACCCTTTACTATGACCACTTTTGGAAAGCACAAAGGCTATCAGAGACGTCATCTTGAAAGTAGCAGTGGGAATGAGATACATTTCCCACAAGTGAGTGGATGGAATTTTGAAAGTGTCTCTTTTCTTTGGTGACACATTAGGAAAACACTTCTGTATATTATCCTACTTTTCTTGCTACATTTCTTTTCCATACCCTTAGTCACTTAAGGGAGTTCATTTTCTACAACAAACAGAGCCTTCATATCTCTGACTCACACAAGTATTCAGAACAAGTTAATAACTGGATTTTCCCCAAACAGCTGTCAAATGTTTGCTTTTTTTAAAACTTGAAACAGGTTCCACAGGAGCAAAAGGGAGCAAAGGTGAAAAGGGAGAAGGTACTGTACTTTTATTTTTTCTTCTCTTATTTGCCTTCTGGCACCAAAGCTATCCAAGATCAGGACCAATGTCCTCTGCTGTGCACACAGCTGTGCACCCACAGCACAGCTAACAAAACTGAGCAGTCTGTGCTCTGAGCTGCAGCCTGGTGTCTCCAGATGTAGGATAGGGTCTTGAATTGTTTGGATTGGAGCTACCAGTAATTTCTGGTCACACCCTGGCTGCAGCCATGGAGATGGGAATATCTGTCTGGTTTGGGCAGTCACTGCTTCTGTCTTTCAATGTTTTTTTCCTTATGCCTGTATGACTTACAGAGTTATTTTCTTCTCCTCTGAAGTGTCAGTCAGCTACAGTCATCTTATACGACTTATGGGAGGGAACAAGAGGGGCCGTGTGGAAATCCTTCACGAAGGGACCTGGGGGACAATCTGTGACGATGGCTGGACCATCCAAGAGGCCAAAGTTGTGTGCCGAATGCTGGGATTCAGCCAGGCAGTCTCTGCCTTCACAGCCACGGCAGGTGAGTCCACAACAGCCTCCCACCTCCCCAGGCCTGGCATGGGTGGTAAAACACACCCAGAAAGCATCACAGCAAGGTCACTTACACAAGCAGCAGGAGAGTAAAGAGACTCTCTAGAGGGCAGCTCATTCCTCTTGGGATGAGGAAGCTGCATGTCAAGTGCTGCTTGAACTGTGCCCAAAGGCTTGATTTCCAACAAGCCAACCATGCAATCCAACACATGCCCACTATCCACAGGACTATCTTTAGAAAAAAAAGAAAAGCATATTCCTCTTTCTTTTGTCCAACAGTTTTTTATTTGTTTGCTTGTTTAATTCATCTTCCAAAGGCACTGGACAAATTTGGCTTGATGACCTGAACTGCAGTGGGAGTGAAATATCAATTTTCGAGTGCAGAAAGCCTGGCTGGGGTGTCCACAACTGTGCCCACAGTGAGGATGCTGGAGTGGAGTGTGTTTGATGGGACACAGTCTACCCTGGGAGCTGCTGCTGCTTTTTCTCTCTATGGGACTTTTCTTCATGACATGAACCCAATTTCATCAGGCTGTGCTTATAGTCTCTCTACCAGGTCATAAAAATATTGACAAAGAAAGTTGAATTTTTCATAAGTCAATAACAGTTGCAAGACCCACAGGTAACCTGAAGCATCCCAGCTGTCAGAAAACAATTGGAGCTCAGGTGTGTGCCAGTTCACAGCTTTTCCAGCTACCTTACATCAGCTCATCTGCAGGAGCTTGAGTGTGTGTGACCTCTACATCCACAGGGGGGGAGACGATCCATGTTAGCTTAGTGCAGTAAGAGAACAGGATCAGAAACAGGTAGTTACTGCAGCTGAGCTGGCTAGTCTGTCCTCATCACAGCACAGTTGTGAGCCTGAGCCTAAAACCCCCAGAGAAGTGCATACACCCAAGGCATCAAATGCTCAGAAATAATCAGAAGACCTCTCTGGCATGCAAGTATAAATATTCTCCAGAAATGATGCTTATCACAGGTTAAACTGCAAAAATAAGTGCCTGAGATCTAGGTGCCATACTATCCTGGTTTAGCACAGCCCTTATTTTTGACCTTGGCCAAGTCCCTTGCCTTTTCTGTCAGTGTTTCCTAACCTGTCCCCAGGAGAAATACCCCTTGCCTTATCTGGTGTATAAAGCTAAGCATTTCATACCTTTAGAAATTAGATGCTCCAGTCAAGCAAAGGGATGACAAATAAAAAAACTCATACCAAAGCGTGGTGTATCAGAAATGATTAAGCTATCAATCGGCATTAAAACTAAATAAATAAAGTTACACGCACACACAGAGGTGTAGATGTATTAGGGATAAGATATTGAACTGGACTTTCCGGGCTCCCATTCAAGTGATACAATTTACTTTCAAGAAATAAAAGGACCCATCCTGACGCAGGTGCCGCCCCAGGAGCATCAGTCACCTCCCGCAGCTGTTCCCATCCCGCCCGGTTCTCTCTGCTGCTCCTTCCCGGCACTAAGGGGAGCTCAAGGGCCGCGCGGGACACCCGCGGCATCGCTCAGCTCCCCTCGGCTCGGCTCGGAGGCTGCTCCTGCTCCTGCCCCGCCCGCTCGTCTCGCTGCTTTCTCCCACGGACACAGTGGTTCCTGCGCAATCCTCCCTGCTCCGCTCTCGTGAGATGCCACCCGAAGCTCTGCGTCCAGCTCTGGGACTCCTGGCGCTGACCTGCTGGAGTGAGTCCAGAAGAGACCACGAAGATGCTCAGAGGGCTGGAGCACCTCTCCTATGCAGACAGGCTGAGAGAACTGGGGCTGTTCAGCCTGGAGGAGAGAGACACCTTAGAGCACCTTCCAAGTATCTGCAAAAGAGCTGGAGATGGATTTTCACAAGGGCATGTAGTGACAGGACAAGAGGGAATGACTTTAAACTGACAGAGGACAGGTTTAGGTTAGATATTGGTATGAAATTTTTTACTGTGGGGGTGGTGAGGCACTGGAACAAGTTGTCTGCAGAAGTTGTTGATGCTCCATCCCTGAAAGTGTCGAGGCCAGGTTGGATGGGGCTCTGAGCAACCTGGTCTAGTGAAAGGTGTCCCTGCTCATGGCAGGTGGGTTGGAACTAGATGGTCTTTAACATCCCTTCCAACCCAACCCATTCTATGACTCTGTGATCCCAGGAGTGAAAGGGCAGCAGCATGCACAGGGTTCAGGTGATGTGCCCTTGATGTCCCTCCTGTGTCATTGGGAAGGGCAAAAAGGTGTTTTATCCTGTTGAACAGCTAACAGCACAAATACAGAGACCAAAGCCTAAGAGTGGGGGGCTTGGTTTGAGGGAGTGAGGCAGGTTGTGATGGTTTCAGTCTTCAATAACTCCAGTAGTGGTCAACCAGTACTCCCAGAAAGTGGATTCTTTTTGCTCTTGGTGATGCAGTCTCTTGTGTCCTGTCCCCACAGTGCTGAGGCTGGGGATGAGCTGTGCAGCTGTTCCTCCTCTGTCCCTCCAAGGGGACACCTCTAACATGCTGGCAAAATCTGGGGGTTTGCCTTAAAAGTTCTGTTTCTAGCTGTTAAGAGTGGAGAGCAAAACCTGTACAAGTGTCCCAGCTGCCCAGCAGCCTCTCAAAAACCATCAGGCACAACTCACAGCAGTGGCATTTGAAGCCTGAAGCCCAAAAGGTAGAGGTTTGGAGCGTGCTTGTGCTCCACACATCCACTTCTCTACTCCAAGGGAAGGTCCATTGGGGCAGGAAGAGTGCCACAAGTCACTGTGGGATAGCTGGTGAGCAACAAACAAGCCTCTTGCATCCAGAAAAAGGGATAGCCCTGAGATGTGGAGACTGGCTTGCATGGCCACACCACCTCCCTCCCCAAATATCCAGCTTGGGGCTATTTCACCCTAGCTTCTAAGTCTCCCAACCATCCTGTACTGCCCTAAAAGAGCTGTCTGTGTCAGCTAACAAGCAGTGGTGCAGCTTTGCTTATCATTCATGCCCAGCACCAATTAAAAAGGCTTAGTTAAGCAAAATGCAATTACACTGTCATGGATAAAAGGAACACACTTAATTAAAAGGGAACACTTTCCCTTAGGAATGATGTTATTTCCAGATGCTCCCATCCCTGTCCCTGACCACTCCTTGAGATCTGAAGAGTCTTGGGGTGGAAAGAATTGGTGGGGGGTTCAGGTAGTTTGTCTCCCCATCTCACTGCCTCACATGTATTTCTGAGGTAAGTTAGCAAGACGCTTGAGCGCCCAAATCCGTTCTGGAGCCCTAAAACGTAATTTCCCAACGTATCTGACACAGCTTTTCCAAGGAGATGAACATTTCATAGAGGCTGTCTCGCACCAAGCTGAGACTTTTCTCTTTTTGGGGAGAAAACTGGGCCGTTTGTCAACTGTGAAGGAGTAAGAACAGCCAGACACTGTGGGGTACATGCTGTGGTTGGAAGGATTTACCAAAATCCACAGGGAAGCAACAGAAGTGAGGTTGCCCCTTGGGAAGGGAGGACACAAGTGCCACCCCTCTCAGCCCACTGCACTGGCAGGCACTCAGGCTGCTGGCTCACCAGCCAACACCTCTTCCATGGAATTTTGGATCCAGAAACCTCAGCTGTGCAGCAAGGTGCCCATTTCCCAGCACTGGAGCTTTAGGTGACAGAGGATTCTGCTGAGAATGTGTGTTAATAAATGAAGAGTTTTTATCTAATCATTCCCGTGTTTTGATATGAGCATTACTGTCAAACCACAGGGAAGTGACGCAGAGGAGAAGGCTGCAAGTTGCCACTGGAGTTTGGTGAGAGGCTGAATGCATTTTTTGTAGCCTCATCAGAAGCCACATGAAATCCAAAGCACCACCCAGGCACTCAGAGAAGCTTAAAGAGCAAACTGCTTACTAACTACAAACCAGTTCACCAGGTTTCCAAAGCCTGAAGTTTATGCTGAACACATCCATAACATATCTCTCCTTAGCAAAATTATTGATAATTCCAAAGGTAAGAAAGGCCATCAATATATTAAAGACATTGCATTAAAAGATGTGATAAAGGAATGACTTATCTGCTCATATTACAGACAGGTAACAACTTTAATACATGTGCTGGCTATATCTAAAGGTTAAATTAATTGCATCATATATGGGTCACTATCTTCACCCCTCTCTTCTGAAGCCTTCTGATGTTTTAGATCACATCACCACAAATCTGCCAGCAGATTTCTTAGCTTTTTCTGCTAAACATCACAGTGGAAGGCAGCATCTGGCCTCAAAACTCTCAGATATATTTTTTTCTGTCCCACTTGGTGCCAGAACTGGACATGTTTTGCTTGGTTAACCCTCTTCCCACTTGGTATGGTCCAGCAAAGGCCCAACCAACCATCCAGTGCAGTGCACAAGCCCAAGCTACAAGTGTTTCTGATCTCTGCAAAGGGACCAGTTTGGCTCTCACTGGTGCTGGCAAGAATCTGGAGCATGCATTGATGCAGGCAGCTGCTCTGCCATGACATAGAGCTGAATTTAACCCAAAGTATTTAAACAAACTGTTAGTGGGAGCTTCAAATGATTATCCATTTATTTCAGTATTTGTCTTTTTCAAATGTGACCTAAAATCTATAAGTAATTAGTTATTGTACTGGCTACGGTATTGCGAAATGCTTCCCTTCATTTTTTATTCAGACTCTAAGCTACAACTCATCAAATCATTCTAGTCACACCAGCCTTCAAAGGTCTAAATGGGGAGGAAGGGGGGCTAATGCCTTAGTATCTTTGAGATTTGCAAGAATATTTGAGGATTTTCTGGGGATTCAGTGCGAGATGAAAAAAAATAGAGGTTTGCAGGCAAATAGAGGAACTGATGCCTCCAGTTCAAAAGGAAAGACACATCCAAATGGAGAAAGATTTAAATGTTAAAGTGCTAAACAAACATTGCTATTCAACAGCAGTCTTTGTCTTTAGAGTCCTAGGTTAAAACTACTTCAGAAGGACTATAAAAGCTTGTTACTCTCCTTCGTTGAAGCTAAATGAATTTTAACAGCACAAGTTCCAGAGTTAAGAAGAATTGCCACCTAAAACTCCTCCCAAGTCATCTAGGTACCACATCAGGGTCAGGCAGGAGAGGACTTGGGAGCTGTTAAATAAGTAGATGAATAAGAAAGTAGTACACAAATTGAATTTATTCTGGGTCTGCTTGTGATGTTTTTATGAATACTGAGAAATTAGTGACACCATGAAGGTGCTGGTTCCATGCCATCAGGGTATCAGCAGCACAAAGGAGCACAATTCTGCAATGACCTTGCCTTAGGAAATCCCAGTGGAGTCAAAGGATTCAGAGGGCTTTCAGGCTCAGGCCATAAATCACTCAAGATATGAATTACTGCCTTATTAGAGCAGATTCATAACTGTAATTCCAGATAAATACACAATTAGTCTAATCTCTTCTGATAACATGCCAACAGGAAAAAAAAATTAGTCACCTCCTACTAAGCTGACTAGCTATTCAAAGG